TGAAGCAGCAGAAGAAGGAGGAGGAGTCGGCGGGCGGCACCAAGGGCAGCAGCAAGAAGGCGTCGGCGGCGCAGCTGCGGATCCAGAAGGGTAGAGGAGTGGGGGTCGGGCTATGGCGGTACCTGGGGTCGGAGGGCAGAGTCCAGGGACGGGGTGTCATGGACGCGGTAATGCGATCACGGGGGGCAGACAGGGTCGGAGGTCAGCGTATGATGGGGGTATCCCCCAAGGCCTAAAACTCGTTGTGAGGGACCCGGAAATGTTTGGGGCCGCTGCGGAGGATGGGGCAAGTGGCCGGGAACTCACGAGTCGGACCCAGACGGGAACCTGGATTCGGGGTGACAAACAGAGAAGAGGCTGGCGATGGGGGACATTTTTAGAATATGCTGCTGGGAGCACCGGGTTTCAGAGTCATAGGTAGTGGTTTGAGCTTGGGGTCGTCGGGGTTTGTGGGTCTTTGGGATGACAGGTAGATGCTGCAGGGGTGGCAAAGGCCTGGGATTATGGTTAGGGAGGGTTCTGGGATCAGATTGAGAAATCGGTGCTCCTGTGTTTGGGGGGACCTGGGAATGGGTGGTGGCCACCTGAGATCTGGGGCGGTCAGAGGCTGTTGGGCTTGTGAGTGGGCCACATGGATGTGGAGGCACTTAGGAGCCGGATTAGTGGGTTGTGGAGACAAGAGTTGGGGTCCGACCTGGGCCAAGACTCACAAATACATTGGAAAGTGCACATTTGGGGTTTTCTGTGGATTCCGATGGTCTCATTTCAGGGGTGAAGGAAGGCCCATCAGGGAGGTCAGGAAAGGCTTAGGGTTGAAGGGCTTAGAATGAGTTCCAAGAGCCTGGGAGGTAACCATGGGGGCACTACTGGCACCTGCACCAAGTGCCTTCCTCTCTGCCCCCCATCCCTGCCTCCCAAACTCAGACATAAACGAGCTGAACCTGCCCAAGACCTGTGATATCAACTTCTCAGACCCTGACGACCTCCTCAACTTCAAGCTGGTCATCTGTCCTGATGAGGTGAGGGACCATACTGACTTGGGTCCCCTGCAGAAACCCTGGGTGGCCCTGATACAGGGAAGGAGACCCAGTTTACCTGCCAGACCTCAAGAGAACTGGACCCTGAAACCTGCCTCTTTTCTCCCATTGGCAGGGCTTTTACAAAAGTGGGAAGTTTGTATTCAGTTTTAAGGTGAGTCTGAGGTAGTCAAGGACAGTAGCTTCCTGGGTGGAGATCCCACCAGTCCTGAACTGGTACCTACCCTGCTCTTCTCTCTTCTCCCTCCGAGGTGGGTCAGGGTTACCCCCATGACCCCCCCAAGGTGAAGTGTGAAACAATGGTTTATCATCCCAACATCGACCTCGAGGGCAATGTCTGCCTCAATATCCTCAGGTGAGGTGCTGGCCCTTTGCTGCCCTCCTGCACCCTGGCCTTGCCTCGGGATTGCCCTCTTGGGCTCTGGGTCTCTCACTGTCTCACCACCCCCACCTTTGTCGAAGTCTGTATCCCTCTGTCCCTCCCATCCCTATATACTCTTCCTCATGACCTGACACTCCCCCAACCTCACATCCTCAATCCCCCTTGGTCTGTACCTGACCCTGCTACTCTGTCCATAGAGAGGACTGGAAGCCGGTCCTTACGATAAACTCCATAATTTATGGCCTGCAGTATCTCTTCTTGGTGAGTAGGGGTGAGGGAGGCCTGGACTGTGGGAGGCTGTGCCTTGCAGGCTGCTGACCCCTGTCTTGCCGACTGCAGGAGCCCAACCCCGAAGACCCCCTGAACAAGGAGGCTGCCGAGGTGCTGCAGAACAACCGACGGCTGTTTGAGCAGAATGTGCAGCGCTCCATGCGGGGAGGCTACATCGGATCCACCTACTTTGAGCGCTGCCTGAAATAGGGTTGGCGCCCATCCCACCCCCGCCAGGGCCACCAGCCCCGGTGTCCCCAGCAGATATTTATTGGGGGCCACAGGTGGGGGACATGGGGCAGCCAGTGGGGGTTGTCCCCCTCCCTGGCCTTGCCTCCCCTCCCTGCCACCTGCCCCTCCTTATTTTTTTTTAACCACCATGTGATTAAGGTTGGCGCTGCCTCCCCCGACCTACTCAGCGATGGGAAATGAATTGGCTTATCTAGCCCACGCTGGGTGCTCCCCAAACCCCACTCTGGGTACTCGGGTGGGTAGGCAAGGGGCCTGTGTAGCTGGGGACCCAGAACCCTGCCCTCTGCCACTGGCAGTCCACCAGGCTATTAAAGGGGAATGTTACTGCACGGCCTCCGTATCCTCTTTGTTCTTGGTTGTGAGAGGGGTGGGCAAGGTTCATGAAAGATCTCTGGCCGAGAACCTCGGCCAAACAAGAGCAGAGAGGAAGGGGTGTGGAGTTAGGTGGAGTCCAGGACCCAATGCCTGAGATTGTTGGGCTTACTGGGATTAAGCCCACCCTGGCAAAAATGAGGGATGGGAACTGGTGCCCATCAGCTGCGGCCCCCTCCCACTCCTGCCACGAGTGAGCCTGCTGGGGAGACCTGTGCCTGGTCAGCCAGTGCCTGTGATGGGTGGCTGAGGTGTAGGGTGAGGGAGGGAGCCCTGCTTGAGGCCATGAGCTGTGGAGGCCTTGGGGTGGCCGGGGAAAGGTGCCCAAAAGTATGTCACCCTCACGGTGACTATGGCCCCGGGACTGAACTGGCTAGCTTGGGCGGATCCAGAGGCAGGAATCGAACCAGCGAAACACCCTCGGGCAGGCCGCATAAAGACAACCCTTGGCGCATGCGTCTTCTCTACCGGCAGTGGAGCGAGTGCTGCGCACGCGCGCTCCGCCCCTGCCGCCTCCCAGCATTCCAGGTGGGGGCGGGGCATGTGACGTCAGGTCGTTTAATCCGGAAACGGCAGAGGCGACAGACCGAGGGGTCGTCGTTGGTGGGCGCTCCGTGATCCGAGCGAAGATAGCGTAACCCGGAAGCGGAAGGGCTCCCGTCCCAGCTCCGGTGAGTGGCCCCTGCGGGGTTGCGGGCTCCTGGCCGCCGGTGTTTGGGGCGTTCTCTCCGGCCGGGTCCCGCCTATCCTGGGACTCTGCATGCCCAGCGCCCTGGCCTCCCGACGTCGCCCAGCTCGGCGACTGCGTTCCTTCAACACGCCTGCCACCAGCCCCGTGCGGACAGATCGTGGCGTTCACCGTAGACACTTGTCCATTTACCAGTCTTTAGCATGTGGGGTCCGTGAACGCCCCCACACTGTACAGAGAGGCCTGACGCCCATCAAAAACAAGCCGTTTCCCACGAGTCAGTTCTGACTCATAACAAACCCACAGGTCAGTAGAACTGCCCATACTGACAGAGCTGCCTGCCGTAGGTCTCTCCCAGGAGAGATGGTCTCAAACCACCAACCTTCAGGCCAAGCATTTTACTGTGCCACCAGGGCTCCACTCCTTGGTGTGTAGGGACTGTGAGCCTCAGAATCCCAGTTGCCCCGCCCTCAGTGCTGGTGCACCAAAGGGCACCTGTGTACCCAGGCACTTCTCCAGTCAGTCTGTGGAGACCACAGGTCTTCACAAAGGGTCCAAAGAGGATAGCTGAACCCCTGGCCCTCTGTCCCTCTGGCCTCCCTTTAGGGGCTTGGTGATGAAGGATGGGTGGGTACCCCATGACTTTCAGGCCACCTGTCAACTCTTCTGGCCTAGTTTCCCTGGGCATCCCATTCAGGCCACCTGGTTACCCCTTCTCATTTTGCAAGCCCTCCCTGATCCCAGTCCTGCCTGTCGGCCCCATGCCCTACTGTTAGGCCTCTCACCTGACCCAGCCCACCAGTGGGCTCCTGCCACTATGGACCTGTTGTTTGGGCGCCGAAAGACACCTGAAGAACTGTTGCGACAGAACCAGCGGGCCCTGAACCGTGCCATGCGGGAGCTGGACAGAGAGCGCCAGAAACTGGAGACCCAGGAGAAGAAAATCATAGCAGACATCAAGAAGATGGCCAAGCAGGGTCAGATGGTGAGTGTGGGGGTCTAGAGTCTGGAACCAGGGGAGGTGGCATCCCCGTTGTGCATTGTTGTTATGGTGAAACGAGGTGTATCATGCCAACAAACAGGTCCTTCCGGAGTAATGTGGGAACAGGTCTCACTTAGATTACAGTCCAGCAAGACCTTCTCTGAGGAAGGAATTTCTGAGCCCAGAACAGGGGCTGTCTCACGAGCCTCAGTAAGGTTGAGGAGCCCTGTTTGGGCTCAAGAGGGACAATGTAGCCAGTCTTTTAAGAGTATGGGCTACAGTGGGTGTGGAGTCACGAGTTCACAGTGAGAGCAGTGTGACCTGGACCAGCCCAGTGAAAGAAGATGGAGACAGTCTGGGCTGGGCAGTGTGTATAAAGTTGACATGGAGAGGGCTGGCAGAGTACTTTGAAGGCAGAAGAGATGGGCCCTGGGGGATTGGGGGTGGGGTGGTGCAGGGAGGGGCATTGAACATGTAGCACAGCTGAGACTGAGTGGCTGACAGGTTAGGCCTGAGCAGCCAGGCAGAGGGATCATGTCCTAAGACAGGTGGAGTAAGAGCCAATTTGAGGAGAAAAGCCAGCGTTGGTTTTCAAGAACTTTCAAGCCTGAGGTTCCAGCTGAGTGTAGAAACTCAAGACCTGTTCATTTGGACGGAGGACTGTGGACTGTGTAGGGAAAAGGACCAAGGGAGGCGGCCTGAGCAGGTTTGGCCTTGGGGAGGGTCTTTGGAGACAAAACAGAAATGGTTGGGTGGAGCTTAAGAGTTGCCACAAACCCAGTGCTAGAAAATACCAAGAAGATTAAGGGGCGATCAGAACCCCATCCTTGCCACCTCTCCATCCTGCAGGATGCTGTGCGCATCATGGCCAAGGACTTGGTACGCACCCGGCGCTACGTCCGCAAGTTCGTGCTGATGCGGGCCAACATCCAGGCTGTGTCCCTGAAGATCCAGACGCTCAAGTCTAACAACTCCATGGCCCAAGCCATGAAGGGAGTCACCAAGGCTATGGGCACCATGAACAGACAGGTCTGCCTCTCCCCTCCCCACTTACGCCCTAACTGGCCCCTAAGCCCAGGCTTACCCCCACCCCCACCCCCACTCCCTTCTTCCAGCTGAAACTTCCCCAGATCCAGAAGATCATGATGGAGTTTGAACGGCAGGCAGAGATCATGGACATGAAGGAGGAAATGATGAATGATGCCATTGATGATGCCATGGGTGACGAGGAAGACGAGGAGGAGAGGTGCGGGAAGGGTGGGTTGGTAGAATGGGGGACACCCAGTTAGCAGGCCCTGACCTGTTACTGTTCTTTTCCAGTGATGCTGTTGTGTCCCAGGTCTTGGATGAGCTGGGACTCAGCCTGACAGATGAGTTGTCCAGTGAGTACTCCAAACCATCGGCCACTTCCTTCCTGGGCCAGCCCCAACCCTGCACTGCTCCCCGCAGTGGGGAGCTCTTCCCCTGACCCCTACTCTCCTTGCAGATCTCCCCTCAACAGGGGGCTCACTCAGTGTGGCTGCTGGTGGGAAGAAAGCAGAGGCTGCTGCTTCAGCCCTGGCTGATGCAGATGCAGACCTGGAGGAGCGGCTTAAGAACCTTCGGAGGGACTGACTAACCAGCCCCACCTACCTTGGGGGGGCCACAGGCATTGCCTGTGGAATAAAGATTGGACACTAGCCATCTGTAATGTGTAGTGACTGCCCCAGATGCGCATGACTAGTGGGAACTGGGGGGGTGGGGGTGGGGGGGATGTCCCTCCAGCAGGACCAGGGAAGACGGGCTGTGTGCCAAGGTTGGCATTAGGGTACAGGAGGGACTGGTTCTCAGGACACCTGTCAAATGAACCAGAATTGAGAGGTATTCAGGGCCCAATGCAGACTCAGCAGCAATCTGTTCCCTCCTACACTTACCAGCTGACCAGCACACCTCACCTTCCTTATCACCCCGATTTGACTTCCCCTTCAGGCGTATACCATGCACATCCAGACAAAGGTGAATCAGCCACAGTGATAAAAAAGGGGCACCTTATTGGTAAATCTTCACGTCACCAAGACATGGATAAGAAAACTAAGGAGAGAAACCTGCAATCCCAAGCCAAAAAAATGCTAGTAGTGGCTGGGTCTACCTGGCCCTTCTGTGTTCCAGTACCCACAGCAAGCAAGCTTGATGACCCTTCAGGATCAAAATGGCTGAGGCCTGGTGCTCATACTGCAGCGGGCAAGGTATAAGGATACTGAGTTTCCAGACACCATCAACGCTTAGTCCCACAACTACCACCAAAAAAGCAGCATCCAAGTAACTGGTGAAGTTTTTATTAAATCCACATAAGTAAAAACCATATTGTAAGGAGCTGGGGGTCAGGGCCACCAGGGAGTGGGAGCCAGGCCACCAGGAGGTCTAGGGGGATGGGGTGGGGGCAGGGCAGGGCCAGACCAGCCATGGGGGCACCTGCTTCAGAGGCCATCGCTGGGGCCTCCAGGCAGCTCTGGGGCCCCCAGGCCAGCACCAGGCAGGCTCAGTGGGGGTGGCTCAACCAGCACAGCTGAGAACTTGGTGTCACCAAAGGCTTCGTTCATGCGTGTCTCAAAGAAGCGCTGCAGGCCAATGATGGATTGCACGTCGGCCTTGTCCTGGGTGGGGAATGGGGACAGTGGTCAGTGTTTCTCAGCTCTGCCAGCCTCCGATGCCCCTCCTTCCTCACTCTGGGCACATGGATCCTCACCTCAGTCAGCTTGTTGAACTGCTTGAACATGCGGCCCACATCCTGAGCAAACTCTTGAGGAGAGCTATAAGGGGGAGACAGCTTCTCCTGAAGGCGGGCTCGGATCAGCGTCAGGTCCAGGGTGCCACCAGGCTGGTCCTGCAGTCGGGGGTGCCACATGTGAGCTGTGAGCTTGAGGCCAGCTAACTACTCCCTCCCGCCTTGCTCTGAGAGCACTCACCAGGGTGAAGGTGGAGTCGGTGGCCAGCTGGTGCAGGGGGCGGCATGGCTCATGACAGAACAGGGCCAGTAAGACACGCTCACATTTCTAGAGACCAAACAGAGCAGCCCATCACTTGGATCCCTCTATAGCTTTCCTCCCTGAGCCCCGAGCCCAGTCCCTATCCTCACCCGCTGGTTGGCAGGCGAAAGCTTGGCCACCACACCAGTGGTGTCTGCCCCGTCCAGGTTGAGGCTCCCGTCCTCCTCCTTCAGGTCAGGAAGCACATGGCAGAGCGAGCAGCTCCACTCCTCCCTGAGGAAGTGGGTGGGTGGTGAGGGCCTATCCTGATGGAGTCCCCCACCTGCCCTGCCCCACTCTGCCCCACCCGTACCCTGGCACATCCTGCAAAGCTGGCAGGTGACAATCCAGGTGGAAGCAGAACTCGCATTGGTTGCACATGACTAGATCTCCTGGCTTCTGGCAGACTCGGCAGATGGTGGCGCTGTCATCCAGGGCACCAGGGCCACCAGATGGGGCCGAGG